TTCTGATGCACCGTTCCCAGAAAGGAAAGCCCAAGGCTCCTTAACGTACATTAAGGCTGACTGGTTTCAAGTGTCCTGGGTATTTGGAGTTTTCTGTTGAGTCATATATCTCTTGTAACTGCTCAAAGTATATGTGGAGACCGATGATAGACTTGACATTTTACAATGTGTCTGACCATCAGTAACTTGCTACATGCAGCTTGCCAGTGCTTTATAAAGTGAAAAGTGCAAATTTTGGGGACCTGTCTGTCCAGAAGGTACCCAGGAATGCTTTCTGACACGTATCTGATTTTGTTTCTCAAAAACAGAGCTGCCAGATGCTGTTAAATCAGCTGCGAGAAATCACAGGCATCCAGGATCCTTCCTTCCTTCATGAAGCGTTAAAGGTTAGTTTCCAGACCCAGCTTAGCTGACAGGCTCTGAAGCAGTTTGACATTACAGGTGTGTCAGTACCCACTATTTCTATAGCAGGTGAAAACAGGAGCAGGACCCCTCCCGCTCAGGTGGGCGGTCTCTTCAACATCGAAACTTTGAAGTAGATGGTGGGAACGTACAGTGGGGGGCAGCCTGTGGGAGCATCCATATGTGACCAACAGACAAAAAATGACTCCAGAAGGAAACTTGTCTGCTCTTAACATGTGAGATTCTTAAGCATTGTTGGTTATATTTTGAAAGAATACATTCTGAATGTTACCCAAGGAAATGGTAGCACACCTAGTTTCAAAATAGCCAGCAGGTATAGGCAGTATAGAGAAAACATGAGTCTATGATTGGGTAATGTCAGGGGCATTGTTGTGCCTTTTAGAATGTTTTCCTAGTAAGAAGTTCAAAACAGGTATGTCACCTTGTAAAATACAGTGACTGCTCATGACTTTACTGTCTAGGCTGAATGCACTTATCACCTGTGTTAGCTGCCAGTTCCCTTTAGTGACTCGATGTGTCCTAACTGTTCTGTCAAGTTAGGCTCCTGAAATGACTGAACTGTCCAGCAAGGCTGTGGCTTGCTTTTCATGTTGCAGCTCAGTCTCTTGCTGTCACCTGGCTTGATCCATCCCCAGGTGCACCAGTCTCCCTGCCTTCACGAGACTGCCTGCTCTCTGCCTGCTCCCTGCCTCAGAGCTATGATTAGGCTTGGTCTGTTCATTGTGTCACCATGGTAGTAAAAGAACAGCGCCAAAACTATCGCACACTATTAACTCTGCCATGCTTTACTTCAGAAAGTTTTTTTTTTTTCCTCTTAGGCCAGTAATGGTGACATCACACAGGCTGTCAGCCTTCTCACAGACCAAAGAGTAAAGGAGCCTGGTCACGACACAGCGGCTACAGAACCATCTGAAGTAGAAGGGAGTGCCACCAGCAAAGATCTCTTAGCAAGTAGGTGTCCTGCCCTAGTCTTCTCTGAACTAGCAGACGACAGCGACCGATTGCTCATTTATGTCATTGACCCTTTGACTGGTCACTGAGCCATCGCTGGGAGCCAGGCCTGGGTTCTTTTCATTCCTTCCCCTTACTTTACTTTGTAGCCCAGGCTGGCTTTAAATATATTTTCTTCGTGACTGGTTTTTGTAAGTCTGTACTAGGTCATAAGCCAACTTAATAAAGCTCCACTGATCAAAGAATACTATATGTACAGTTGACTATCCTGTGCTAGGATGTTTTACAAAGATATTTTTACAATAATAAAGGCAATTAGCTTACAGGTATGAAATGTATTTTTGACTTTGTGGGGTATTAATGTAATTTAGTGTGTGTGTTTGTGTGTGTGTGTTTGTAGATCAGAGGTTTTGTTTTAGGTGTCTTTGTCTATCTCATTTATTTTTAAAGTTCTGGTTATTTTTATGTATATAAGTGTTTTGCATGTGTGTATGTCAGTGCATTGGGTGCTGCCTAGTGCTCCTCAGAGGCCAAAAGAGGGTGTTGGACCCCTAAAGCTTGTGTTAGGGATGGTTGTGAGCCACTGTGTAGGTGTTGGACCCCTAAAAGCTTTAGTTAGGAATGGTTGTGAGCCACCGTGTAGGTGCTGTTAATTGCTGAGCTATCTCTCCAGCCACTCTACCTTACTTTCGTTTTGAGACAGGGCTACTCACTGAACCTGGGACTCACCAGTTGGCTAAGCAGCCAGGCCACCAAGTCCATTCTTCTCCCCCAGGACTGAGAATATAGGCATGTTACCCTCGTGCCTGTCTTTTTACATGGATGCTGGAACCTGAGCTCAGGTCTTTCTGCGTAAGCAGCCAGTTTTCTGTGCACTGGCCATCCCCAGCTCTGGTGCATTGTTAGTCACTCACTTGGGAACTGTCGGGATAAGATTGCAGCACAGCTATGTTATGTTGTTCATGTGACTCTGAGACAGTTACAAGGTGTGTACAGAGGAGCCACTGGTGAGAATTAGGGATATATGTGCTTGGAAATGTTTTACCTTCCTTCCTTCTTGAGCACAGGAACTAATGGAATTTCTGCTTCCTCACAGAAGTGATAGACCTCACTCACGACAACAAAGATGACCTTCAGGCAGCCATTGCCTTGAGTCTCCTGGAGTCTCCTAACATTCAGACTGACAACAGAGATCTTAATAGGTTGTTCCTTTAATTTATGATCTTCGTTCCTCGTGATTGCTTTGTTGCATTCTGGGAAAGCTACTCCTGGCTCTTTCTGCCCCTTTATTGCTCCAAGATAGTTTCTCTAAGGAACAGTCTTTGCTTATTCAGTTCCCTTCCCCACCTCCCTCTTCTTTTACTCCTTTTTCTATTTTTGGGGGTTAGGGGGTGTCTCATAATGGCCTGAAATCTGTGACCCTTTTCCCTCACCCTCTAGAGTGCTGGGATCCCAGGTGTGTGCCAACAGCTTGGCCCTTGGTTCACTCTGAAAAGTAAAGGACATGGAGGCTCTTAACCCAGTCTGTAGTCTTTGAGTAGAAGTTTACAAATTTTGTTCCCAGTTACTAAGGAAAACCAATAATGAGCCTATGTCTCTGGTAAGTGCAAGCCCTTCAGTAGGATATCATGGTTGAGTGTAAACCTTTAATGTGGTAGGAATGAATAGCCTGGAACCTCAACTCATTTTTACTGTGTCTTACTAGTAATAGTTTCTGATGGAAGGGCTTACGTTTGTATTTAAACCTCTCTTTTCACTTACTTAAAACTGCAGAGCTATTATGTAGACACTGATTGTCCAATGGATGGTTATCCTGGGAATTGAATCATCTGTTCAGATTTACCAACACGGTCTGTATAGTAAATCATTCTTTAACTTTTTTTTTTTCTTCTTCTTCATTTGCTATGTGGTGTTGGTATGCTACAGAACGCATGAGGCTAACACTGCAGAAACTAAGCGCTCAAAGAGAAAACGCTGTGAAGTTTGGGGAGAAAACCACAATCCCAATAACTGGAGGAGAGTGGATGGTTGGCCGGTTGGGCTGAAAAATGTTGGCAACACATGTTGGTTCAGTGCTGTTATTCAGGTATGGTGTTTTAAGAGACAACCATTTTCTCCTGGATATAATTTCATAGTTTGCTAAAGTGAAACATGTGAAGTATAAGTTGAATCAAACTGTGTAAAACTGGGTAGGTAGTCTTTGTTGTAGCATTGTTGTGTTGTAGTTACTTTTGTGTGTTTGGACTGAGAATTGGTGATGTCTAAACTGCACAGTATTGAGATATAAATACCTTAAGTGTTCGGGGTCAGCAGTTAATGAATACCATTCAGGGTAGCCTGGAGTAGGGGCTTGGCAGATGGGCATCCTGGAAAGAGGACTGTAAAAATACTCGTTTTCATTATGGAGCCTAGACGGACCTCAAATTTGTGATCCGTTTGCCTGTACCTCCCAAGTGATAGGGTTTTAGGCATGTACCACCATGCTAGCTCTGCATGAATTAGATATGAATACACACACACATATAGTCATCTACTCCAAACACTCTGTCACTGAGCCGCAGTCCCAGTCCTGTGAAAACACTCTTGGGGAAGGAGGGCTGTGAAATCCGTAGGACTCAAGGTCTAGAGGAGTGACCAGATAGCTCAGTGCCGTTTGACATGGGAGGAATACCTTGTGGCAGAAGTTGCCGATAAGGCTGTAGATGTGCTGAGTTCAAAGTACTTGTGTTTTACATCCTTGTGTGCAGGACTACATAGGAGTTAACTGAATGGATCCTTGTATACAACACTACATAGGAGTTAACTGAATGTACTTTTACGTCAGAAGAGAATACTTTCAGGTTCTTAGTAAAGCCAAGCAGGTGGATAGATTTTATTAAAGAGAAGTGGCTATTAAGTATTTCCTGGAGCCGGAGAGATGGCTCAGCAGTTACGACCAATTGTGATCTCTCTGTGGTACTAGTATCTCAAATGCTGGAGTCTACTGCAACTAAGCCTCTCCTGGGCTCTCTTCATGGTACAAAGTCTCAGCTTTTTCCATGACCCCTTCAATTCAGGGGCTTCTACTGCTAACGCTGCATCCTCCTCAGTGGCCTCTGCTGTCCTCTCACATGCCAAGCCACTGTCCGAGACCCTTTCACGGTCCCAAGTCTGCCTGCCAGCTTGAGGTTCTACCTTGGCTGCCTCTGAAGCATTGCTTCTCTGTGCTTTCAGAGAAGCACTTCCCAGAAGATTCCACCTCAGTGATAGTGGTCTGCTCTTAATGACCACTAAATTTCACAGCTCCAGCCGACCAGCGTCAATTGTTCCAGCAAAGCAAAGGTTTCACTTTAGTCGTACTGATATCTTGTTAATCACGACTGATTCTTCAGCCCAGCTAGCCAGAACCACAGAATCTTCACACAGAAGCCTGGTAGAGTCTTTGCTTCCCTCTGAAAAGTCAGGAGCCAGGCCTCCATCATTTGCCCTGCTCACAACCTTCTTCCAAGCTCCTACAGAATAGTCCACTGAACTCTTAATACTCAGTGGCTTCTTTAGCCCAAAGTTCCAAAACCCTTCCACAGTCCTCCCTAAAACAGCATAGTCTGGTCTGCCACAGCAGTTCCCTACTCCTGGTACAGCTTATCTTAGGATGTCTGTTGTTACAACAAAACACATGACCAAAAAACAAGTTGTGGAGTGTCTTAGTTAGGGTTTCTATTGCTATGAAGAGACCACTCTCATAAAGGAAAACATTTAATTGGGGCTGGCTTACAGTTCAGAGGCTTAGTCTGTAATCATCATAGAGGAAAGCATGGTGACACGAAATTAGACATGGTACTGGAAAGGTAGCTGAGAGCTCTACATCTTGAACTGCAGGCAGCAGAGGGAGACTGCCACGCTGGGTGTGTGTGATCTCAGACCCAGCCTCCACAGTGATGCTTCCTCCAACAAGGCCACACCCACTCCAAAAAGTCGAGACCTGATAGTGCCTCTCCCTATAGGCAAGGATTCAAACACATGAGTCCATGGGAGCCATTTCTTTTCAAACCAACATAGGAAGGAAACGGTTTGGCTCACACTTTGATACCACTGTTCATTATTGATGCAAGTCAGGACAGGAACCTGGAGGCAGGAGCCGAGGCAGAGGCTGTGGAGGGGTGCTGCTTATTGGCTTGCTCTGCATGGCTTGTGGAGCCTGCTTTCTTACAGAACCTAGTCCACCAGCCCAGAGATGTTACCACCCACAATGGATTGGGCCTCCCCCATTGTTCACTAACAGCTGGATCTTACGGAGGGAGGAATTGTCTCAGTTGAAGTTCCTTTCTCTTAGATTGATGTAGTTTGTGTGTCAAGTTGACATAGAATAGACTAGCTATCACACACTTAACAAAAACATTTCCTTCGCACCGTCAGCTTCATACGTTCCTCCCTCTCCCTGCCTACAGTGTGTCTGTTCTATGGTTCTATGACATCCACCTAGCCACTCAAGCCAAAAGACGTTGTTTACTGTATGCCTGGCTCTGATTAGACCATGGAAGCAGCAGTGACTAAGACAAAGCCCGTACTCTCCTGCAGTTTGGTTTAGAGAACCAGGCCGTGATAAATGCCACAAAGACATTGTGAAGGAAGATGTACTGGCTGGTTTTGTGTCAACTTGAAGCTAGAGTCACCAGAGAGGAAGGAGCCTCAGTTGAGGAAATGTTTCCATGAGATCCAGCTGTAAGGTAGTCTCCGAATTAGTCAGGAATGCGGGAGGGCCCAGTTTTTGTGAGTGGTGCCATCGCTGACCTAGAGGTTCTAGGTTCTGTAAGTAAGTAGGCTGATAAGCAGTGAGGAGCAAGCCAGTAAACAGCAATCCTCCATGGCCTCTGCAGCAGCTCCTCACTCCAGGTTGCTGCCTTCCTTGAGTTTCTGACCTACCTTCTTTTGTCCACCAACAGCGATGTGAATGTGTAGGCTGAATAAGCCCTTTCCTCCCTGGCTTGCTTTTCGGTCATGGTATTTCATCACAGCAATAGAGAACTCAGCTCGAGTGCTGCTGCTGTAGGTTGGCCGGGGGTAGCTTGGCTGGTCGAGGCTTTTAAGCTGAGGTGTGAAGGTGGCTGGGGTTTGGGTTATTATGTAGCTACATACAGAACATTCGTGAGTAAAGCATAAAAAGTAAGTAACCTGTGTGAGAGCAAGATGGCTAGGACTGGCTGGTGAAGAATGGAGAGAACTGACTCCTGCAGGCTTCCATACAAATGACCTGATGTGTGTGTGCTGCTTTCCCATCCATCCCCTTAGTAAACACATACTTAAAATTAAAAGTACAGCGAGTATAGGGGGAGCAAAGCCACGTGGGGTGACTCAGATCTGTAATCACCTTTAAGGCAAGAGCAGGAGGTGGCCGCAAGTCCCGCTGAGCTTTGTGGTGCATTCCATAGCAGCCACGATCTGAGAGACCTGGTCATAAACACTCTGTAGAAAGTAGGCCTGCCAGTGAGTTAGTCTCCGACTGCAGCTGTCTTAGGTGTGGGGAGACAGGCGCACCCTAGAGTCAGAATGCCCTCAGCCTTTACTGCTGTGAGAGATACTGAACAAGCTTATTATCTTTATGAACTGTTTTCATTTAGACTCTTTTTTTGAGAGGTTGGTAAAATGGCAGATAGATTTTTGGAATAGTTGTTGGAGGTTATAAGGAAACAGTAGGATACCAGATTCAAAACCTGAAAACGTATTGAGCGCTTTAGACTTTTGAATTCGGGACATGCATGGTGGTACACATCTGCAGTTTCTGCACTCAAGCTAAAAAGCAGGAGGACCAAAAGTCTGAAACCAGCCTTAACTACATAATGAACCATTAGAAATAAACCTACTCGCACACGACAGAATGCGGAGATGGTGAACTATGCTGCTCTTACCACTCAGATAAGAAGTGACCATTACAAGGCTAGAGAAATGGTCCAGCAGTTAAGTCCACTCACTGTATGATCATGAGCATCAAAGTCGGCACCCTTGTAACAGGCCAGACGTCTAGATGGCGATAACCTCTGCTTCCAGTGGATGGAGATAGATCGTTGGGCTCATTCCAGCTGAGCTTAGAAAGCCCCACTAGGTTCCAGGCGAGATCCTGACTCTGGGGAATAAGTAGAAAATGATGGAGGAGAACACCCAGCACTTTCTGGTCTCTGAGTGTACACGTTCAGCGCTGTCTTAAAGTGAATGTTATACAAAATCCCAGTGCACCAGCCTGTGGTGGCGCACACCTTTAGTCCCAGGACTCAGGAGGCAAAAGCGGGCAAAAAATCTCTGTGAGTTCAAGGCCAGCCTGGTCTACAGAGAAGCCCTGTCTTGAAAATATCATGGATGGATGGATGGATGGATGGATGGATGGACAGACAGATAAGTCCAAGTACTACTGAGTCCCATCTGTCATCACCTTCTTTCCAACACAGACCTAATCATACATGTGTATAGCCTTAAATAGAATTACACTTTTGTGTAACCTTTATTTATTTATTCATTTATTTTTCATTGAGAGTCTTCCCATGCAGCCCAAAGCTAGGCCCAAAACTCACTGTATAGTCCAGGCTAGCTTTGAACATGAGGCAGTCCTTCTGATTTAGGGTCTTGGTGCTTATTATAGGCCTGAGCCAGTTCTGTGCCCAGCTCTGTCACACACGGTGTATTTCTGAGATTGCTCGTGTGGATGCACACATGCTTGTCAGTTAACTGTCCCACTGCAGAGGAGGGACGTGATGAATGCATTTTCAAACCAGTTTTTATAAAAGGTTTCTGTTTATTTGTGTCCATATATGCACACATACTATGTGCACACAGGTGCCGAAGGATGCAGAGAGACGGTGTTGGGTTCTCTGTAGCTGGAGTTACAGGCAGTTGGGAGACATCCTGTTCCAGGAACCAAACTTCTGCAGTATCACTTTGATGACACCTAATTCTGTTACTAAGTTTGTATCTATATGTATTAATCCAGCATTGTTCATTCCTCTTTCTAGGCATTGTTTCTTTTACTACCTAAAAGAATTGATGATTTTATTAATCTTTGTGCATAATCATTTTCTTATTTTTTTAAGATTTACTTACTTTATGTATATGAGCACACCATAGTTGTCTTCAGACACACCAGAAGAGGGCATTGAATCCCATTACAGATGGTTGTGAGCCACCATGTGTTTACTGGGAATTGAACTCAGGACCTCTGGAAGAGCAGTCAGTGCTCTTAACCTCTGAGCCATGTCTCCAGCCCATTCATTTTCTTATAATAGTAGTAGAATTGGTAGCATAACAGTATAGATACTTTAAAAACAAGATAATGATTAGAGATAGGATTTCACAGTGTAGTGACAGGCCTGGGTCTCCCTGGATCCCAGTGTCCCTGAAGTCACTGTACTCCTTTTGCTTCAGCTGAGTACTGCGGTTACTCCAAGCTACCACGCCTGGCTTTGAAATACTACACCTATAATTAAACATGCCTGTAATCCTAGCAGTCAGGTGTCTGAGGCAGGAGGATCAGGAATTTGAGGCCAGCCTTGGCTACGTAGGGAGTACAAGGCCAGCCTAAATTATCTAATAAGACCCTGTTAGGTAATTTAGAAAACAAAACTGCAATTGTTTTTGTTGAGGTTCAGGAACTGCCACACAAACCATATGGACAGTAAGAGGCAAGGGTGAAGGCAGTTCGACATTTTGGCTGATGTTTAAGCTGATTGGTCCTAAGTGAGGTAAGAGGAATGGTGGACTGTGGTGCACAGGGGAGCTTCAGAGCACTGAGATAGCAGCATCAGTAATACAGCCACAGTGCTATGGCCTTTTAGGAGAAGTTTTCAGTGTCAGCTACGGATACTTCCTTCTGGGTAGCGGAGAGAGCCTGTACTCACCTTTTCAGCAATATGGAGACTGAATACAAAATGGCCACAGTTATATTAAAAGGAGCAGGCCTCAACAGTTTTGAAAGTAGTTGAGAATGAATTTCTTTCTTTTAGTCTCTCTTTCAGTTGCCTGAATTTCGAAGACTTGTTCTCAGTTATAGCCTGCCACAGAACATCCTTGAAAATTGTCGAAGTCACACTGTAAGTTGGCACTGATACAGAGTTTCTGTGTTGCTGGGCTGAGTGTGGGAACTGTGATAATCCTTGGTTAAGTCATTCTCCCTCCTTGGGATAAGAAGTAAGAGCTTACAAAGATACAGTTAAGTAAAATAAAATTAGGAAACAGTCCCAAGAAAGTGCAGTGAGGCATTGTTTTATTTAACCTTAGTGCTGCACTGTTGGCGACACTCAGAAGCTGTTCTCCAGGGGCTGTCTCTCTTCTGCCATGTGCTGCTGAGGTCAGGGGATGCAGAGCAGATAGCTGAGGCCGAGCCAGGCCCTTCTTGGACTGCATCCATCTTGCCCTTGCATGGCACCATGCTGCAGTACATCCTCTTATGTGGGCGGCCAGCTGCAAGAAACTCCAAAACATTCCTTAGCATGTTCCCTGACTGCTTCACACCTCCCCTGTGCTCTAGGGTCACACCTGCTGTCCTCATCTGGTCCCTCTGTCAGTCTCACTGGTCTAGACCTTGGTAAATGTGAATTAGTGATTGTTGATAACTTTTTCTTTGTTCCTCCAAACTTTGCAAATAAGATCTTGGCTGTGTTTTCTCTAGGAAAAAAGAAATATCATGTTTATGCAAGAGCTTCAGTATTTATTTGCTTTGTTGTTGGGATCAAATCGAAAATTTGTAGATCCTTCTGCAGCTCTGGATCTACTGAAAGGGGCCTTCAGATCATCCGAGGAGCAACAGGTACTTTTATTCCCTTGTCGTATTTCAAAGGCCAGTGTCTGAGTCACCCTTTGCTAGTGTGGTACTACTGTTTGAATTGTTACTGTGTGACGAGCTCTGAACAGAGCTAGGCAAGATGACTGACTTCATCTGCCCTTTATTGCTGTCCGAAGGTGTAGTTAGAGAGCAGGTGTGTCTGTGCACGAGTGAGAGGTGCATGGGTGCTGGCACTAAAGGAGGCAGAAGCGGGAGGAAGAGCATCGAAGCAGAGGAGGATGGCTTTCTCGACTCAATCCCAACGGAGGCTTTTGAAGCAGTAGCAAATTCGAAAAGTAATCCAGTGAGCTATACCGAGGGATAATTGAGAAGAGTCAGTCCTGCGTCTGATGGTCCAGCTTTTGATTTGGTTTGTGTTTTGAGGCAGGTCTCAGTATTGAACCCAGGTGATCATTGAATGTCAGGTCCTCCAGCCTCAGCCTCCTGAGTCTGGTCACTCTGGGATAGAAACCCTCTTTTCCAACCCATCAAACTCGAATCAAGCAGCTTTTCTCTTCCAGTCATGGAATCTTCCCCTTCCATTCTCCACCTGCTGTTGACTCAGAGCTGCTGCTGTCGCACCAGCTGCGTCCTCTACAGTGTGAAGTCCACTCTGTCATGGCCACATAGCTAACCAGCATTCTCAGAAGAGCTTGTAGAATTGCCTTTCTCTGTCACATCTCACAGTACTCAGGGGACTCCAGTCTGTTCTTTTTAAGATGCCTTTTTAAAAATGCCTAATTGGAGATGATGTTTGTTTTCTTCTTTTGCTTTGTTTGTTTTGTTTTGGTCACATATAGATGTGGCCAGCCCTGAAGAGTTCCACTTCCTTCCTGGCCTAGCTTAGTCACATCACACCAATGCTCTGCTGTTTGTCTCTGGTCACTGGGCTCCCTGTTCCTATGTCTTTTTTGCAAGTTTGCCCCCTAAAAGGGAGATTATGTCACAGAAGTAGAATATTTATCTGAGGGCTTAAAGGCAGACCTTTGTTTCCCTGAGTACAGTATTGCATCTAACTTACTGCAATTTATGCCTCTCTTATAGCAAGATGTGAGTGAATTCACGCACAAGCTCCTGGATTGGCTGGAGGATGCGTTCCAGCTAGCTGTTAATGTTAAGTGAGTGTTGAGGGTTTGTCTGCACATCCTTCTAACCCCCAGTGGCTGCTGAAAACAGTTGGTGGGCGAAGTCACTCTTCTAAAGTAGAGATTACCAGTGTTTGCCAAACTTCTTGGTGGCCACTGAACCCTGCTTTGGCTTTCTCTCTAGAGATCTAGACTGTCCCCTTAACTTTCGTTTCTCTGAACCTGAACTAAGTGCTTGGTTGTAAGATGTAATTAAAAGTGGGTAGATGAATCCTAAATGTGGACATGGGGTATGGTATGGAAGCATTATATTTAATGTCACTCACCTGTGACATCTTCATTCACAGAGCATGTAGGTCAGTCACCCCACCCAGCCATAGACACAGGTGGAAGTCAGGGCCGTGAGGACCTGTATCATCTGTGTGTGGCTGCCAAGAACTCACTCTTCTAAATAATTTTAAGTCTGGAGTTGGAGAATAAAATACCATGAAATAGTTTTGCAACTGGGAACTTGCACACTTAACTACAGTGTAAGGTCAGCTTTAGGAAAAGAACATTTCCATGCTGCTTATTGTGCCACTAAGAAGATTTGTAAGCATTTACTTGTAAAACTCTGGGGGGAGTCCATTCTTCACTACTGTGCTGTTCTCTACCCTGTATATACATGTAATCAGACATAGCTGTATATATAGCAAATGTATATACACATATATTTGTCACCAAGTGTGACCCAAGGTCAGGCTTCACACATTGCATCACCAGCACAGTGCCAGGCATCTTCTTGTCAGTTTCCGAGCTGGGCTGCATCTTTGCTTCCTTAGATAGATACTAAGGTACCGTGAGCATGTATTTGATTCAACTGACAAGAACTGTCTTCTCTCTTTTAAAATAGCAGCAGTCTCAGGAATAAATCTGAAAATCCCATGGTGCAGCTATTCTACGGTACTTTCCTGACTGAAGGGGTCCGAGAAGGTAAGGTCTTTGTCCTGTGTGTTTGTTGTCAGCTATGACTGGTTTTCATTACTGCATCCTTGCAGGGAAACAGGATAGACTTGAAAGTCCAACAAACTGAATGCTCTCTGGCTTTTCTCTGTGTAACTATGGGCACATAGTCTGAATCCTCAGTCTCTAGATCTGTACAGTGGACACAGTCTTTGTCCTAGAATTGTCATGTTAAATTGTACAATGTCTGTGTTGATGGCAGTGCTACTTAATTTTCTATATTGCTTTTCCTGATGGACCATCTAATCTCAGGTTCTATAGAATCAAACTGCCAGAAATGCTTGTCTACTCTCTGAATATTTAAACAGTTTAGTGTCAGGGTTTTGACTGTGTGTAAATAGAGTAGTATGGAAACTTCTGTGGATTCAGCAGCTTGTGAACCCATGGCCAGTTCTTCCCTATATCAGCCTCACTCCCATGAGATTGTAGCCACGCACCACCACTGGACCTTGTGTTTTAGACTTACTGTATGTATTTATTGTTGGTACTAGGACTAGAACTCTGGGTGCATTCTTAAACTGGTACACCAACAGCCACAGGGGTGTGTGTGTGTGTGTGTGTGTGTGTGTGTGTGTGTGTGTGTGTGTTAGATACAGCCCAGTACCATGTGTAGTAGCTACTGCTCTGTTGCTGTGATAAGATATCATGACTATGGAGAAGTGTTTTAGCTTCTGGGTCTAGAGGGTTAGAATCCATAGTGGTGAGAACAAAATGGCATTTGGCAGCTGGCAGGAAACTGACTGAGAGGTCACATCTTTAATTGTAAGCATGAAGCAGCCAGAGCAAATGGGAAGCAGGGCAAAGCTGTGAACTCTCACAGTCCACCTCCCAAAGACATAGCTACCTCAGCTAACAAGGCTACCTCATGGACAAAAAAGGTTCAGATATGAGACCCTGAGAAACACGTCTCATTTAAACTGCAGTATCTTACTCCCTGGCCTCCGTAGGCTCATGGCCATAGTGTAGTGTAAACTATTTAATCTAACTTCCAAAATTGTCTGTAGTCTTTCACAGTCTTCTATTTAAAAGTCTAAAGTCTCTTCTGAGACTTAAGGCAGTCTCTTAATTGTAGCCCCTTGTACAATCAAAAGGCAGTTTACATATTCTGAACATATAATGGCACAGAATATATACATTCTCATACCAAAAGGGAGGAGTGGGGGCGTAGTGAGGAAATATTGGATCAGTATAAAACCAAAATCTACCAGGACAAAGCCCACATCTTGTAGCTCAGTGTCTGCTGTCTGGGACTTCAGTTTTAAAGGGCTTAAAGTCTCTTTAAGTCAGCACCACATGGACAACAGACATTGCCAACTTTGGCTGCCAGCTTGGGCTGGATCCTTGCTTTCTTGAGTCACGTTAGCAAAGGCTTTTACTCTTGTTGCTTTCTAGGAGTTCTCTGTTGCAAGTTGGAAGTTTGCTGTGTGTGGTCTTGCCCTGAGGAAACCCTTCATCTGTTCTGACACAGAACAGCCTATCCTTAAAGTTCTGAACCTCCTAACAGTTACAGCCCTTCCTCCCACATGTGTTTTACCCATAACATTAAACTTCCTGGTATTCTTTTCTCTCCAAACCGTACATTTTGTCCTTTTTTCTGCCCCATGTCTTTTTCATGGTAGACCTATGGAAGCATCGACAATAATAACCATGCCGTAAACTCAACATGATGCAGTCTTGAAATTTTCTCTGCCAAAGAAATCAGTCCTGTTTTAAAGTTTGCCTCAGGCAAGTTCATAGTGTAAAGGCAGAAGGTGGCCCAGACTCTTTCCAGACTATCACAGGACTGGCCTGGTGCTGTTCATCTTGGCTGCCAGGCTTCTGCACTCTCCTTGCTCTCGGCAGCTTGGCTCCTATTAGAACACTCCTTTAAGCTCTGCCTAAGTCAACACTTTAGTTCCAAGGTCTTCCACATTCCTCCAGAAAGTCAGCAAGGTCAGGTTCTTGATCGCTTCAGGCCATCCAGAGAGTAATTCTCTGTACGAGCTTCTGCATTAGGTACTTTTCTGTTGGGTAAAACACCATGACCAAAAGCAAATTATCAAGTGTAATTTTAGCTGCTATTCCAGAGGGCGTGATGGTGGGGAGTCATGGCAGGCATGGCGCCAGGAGCAGGAAGCTGAGAGAGGAGAGACCAAACTGAAAGTCGAGTGAGGCTGTGAATTCCTCAGGCAGCCTCGGGTGACATCCTTCTCTACTGAGGCCATACCGCCTAAGCCTACAAACTGGGCATGAGGTTTTCCCATGCCTGAGCCTGTTAGAGACTTTCCTCATAAATCACCACACACAATTTCTTCAAAGAATGAGCATTTTTAAATGTCAAATATCAGCTGGGCAGTGGTGGTGCACGCCTTTAATCCCAGCACTTGGGAGGCAGAGGCAGGCGGATTTCTGAGTTCGAGGCCAGCCTGGTCTACAGTGAGTTCCAGGGCAGCCAGGGCTACACAGAAAAACCCTGTCTCGAAAAAAACCAAAAAAAAAAAAAAAAGTCAAATATCTATTTAAATTCTCAATTTATACATACAATTTTAAAACATCCTTTTCTTATTTAGGGTTACTATTGCTGTGATGATAAAGTACCATGACCAAAACCAAGTTAGAGAGGAAAGGATGTATTTGGCTTATACTTCCACATCACAATCCATCATTGAAGAAAATCAGGGCAGGGCTAGTGAATGGAAAAAAAAAAGAATTAAAAAGGAAAGGACATGGTTGTTCATTGTAGATATGTGGGAGAGCATAGCCAGAGGCAGGGACATCTGGATGAGTCCAGAGTAGTTGTGACCCTGAGCCATGTAGGGAGAGGGGGGAAGGAGAAGGGAACCAGGTAGCCAAAACAGTTGGGTCATATAGGAAAGGGCAGCCCAGCCCCTGGGTTGGAGAAGTTCATGGTAGCGGGCAGGGTATGCCTGCAGGAGAACCTGCCAGCCAGGTCCACGCTGGTATGTGAAATACACCTCTGCCGTCCATCCCGGTTTAACAGCTGGAGGCAGGAATGGATGGAAGCAGACCAGGGAGGGGTGCTGCTTACTACTGATCTGCTCCCATGGCTTGCTCAGCCTGCTTTCTTATAGAACCCAGGACCACCAGCCTAAGGATGGCACTGTCCACAATGGGCTGGGCTCTTCCATATCAATCACTAATTAAGAGAAATCTCTACAGCCAGATCCTATGGATGCAAATTCTCAGTTAAGGTTCCCTCTTTTCAGATAACTCTAGCTTGTGTCAAGTTGCCATGAAACTAGCCAGCATAGTCCCATTTTACATTTTGTGAGACTGCCCACCCCCAAGAGATGGAGAAGATGGAAGATCCCCAAGCTGACTTCCTCCTTGTGCCTGCGTGGGTTAGTAAGCCCCACACACAAAGGAGCTAGGGCTAACCTAGAACACTTAGCCTCAGAGTTTGTTTTAATCAGTATTGAAATCCCTTCCCGTGGAGAAAGCAACCCAGGACTGCCCATATTGAGTCAGAAGTGTCCCTCAGCCTCCAAGCGTGGTTCATGTATGACTGGGCTTCACTTCTACCCTTTCTTTTCCCTTGAAATATTTTGAGTTATTGATTTTTTTTTTTTTTTTTGAGACAGTGTCTTGCTGTGTAGTTTAGGATGGCCTTGAATTCTCAATAGTCAGCCTTTCAAGGACCAGGACTACAGGTGTTGAGCATGGTGTCCATATTGAAATACGTGTTTTTGAAGAATGTAATTTGTTTGTAATAACCCCCTAAGTCTGGCATTCACCGACTGTGCCCTAGCATGCATAGTTAACCATGACTCAGGCCTCCGTTGCTCTGGTGCATCTTCTGTAGTTGTATTCCAGTGCAGCCAGGACTCTGGTGATGGGTTTGACGAGAAGGCAAGTGCCTTGGGTTTGCTACATGTAGCGTGCTCATGCCTTCCACCAGTGTATTTTTCACCAGTTCTCAGAAACTACTGAATCCTAAAAGGCGGTGTCTCAGTGGAGCCAGAGAACTAGACTTTAAATGGTGGTAGTGAAACTGAACAATCCTCTCTTTGCCTAGGAAAGCCCTTTTGTAACAACGAGACCTTCGGCCAGTACCCTCTTCAGGTAAACGGTTACCACAACTTAGACGAGTGTTTGGAAGGGGCCATGGTGGAAGGTGACATCGCACTGCTTCCTTCTGATCGTTCAGTGAAGTATGGACAAGAGGTAAGCTGTATATTGCCAGTGACAAAGCCAATTAAGTAGGACTGAACTTGTAGGCAAACAAGTTCACATGTTAGGTCACCACACGCTGAGCAGAACGTGGATCTGTCTCCCATCTCTAACCAGTTGATGTGAATCATGAGTCTTTACACTCTGAAGTTCCTGCTAAAGCTGAGTTACGTGTGTAAAGGTTTATGCTGCTTCTGATGCTTTCAGTATGATCAAGTTTCTCCCTTTCTGTTGACGCCTACCTGTGCCTGAGTAGGGAGAATGCACTGTCTCCATATTTCGGAGAGTAAAAGTGAATAACTCTTATGGTATGCCATTTAGAATATTTTCCTGTTACAATATTTATTCTCAGTTTGTAATTTCGGCCTTTGCTTTTACATTTTAAAATGTAATTTTCATTTATGTGGGATTCTTAGGTTTGATGGGTTGGAAAGAATATATTAATGTGAGGGTAATTAATACATCAACATTCCAGTTAGGCAGAGATTAGTGAGCGTCAGTGCAGTGTAATTGTCCACGTTACCTCATTTGGCTTACTCTCACACATTTTTGAGGCAAAACTGGCTTTTGGAACTGTCCATTTAAGAATTATGATAGGAGAAACTGACTTGATTTGAGGTAGAGCACCTGACATGGGCCTGTGGAGGTGTTTTAGCTCTAGAAGATGCTAGAATATGGAGAGCGCTTCCTCCTCAGCTTCTCCAGGATGAGCTGTACCCTGTGTGTACAGTGATGCTTTCTCTTAGGAATGAGTAGTTACTACTTAAGCGGTATCCAGTAAAAAGCAGAAGTCTGTAAAAATAAAACCCTAGCAAGAGTCATTATGCTTGTTTAATTAGATTTAACCCGAAGGCAAGGTGGCTTATGTTTGTAATTCTGTCATTTACAAGACTGATTAATCAGGATTGTTAAAAGTTCAAGGCCAGCAGTAGCTGTTTAGTGATTGAGACCCTGTCTCAAGCAAACAACAAAGATAAAAACATTTAGCTGTGAGGGGATCAGTTAGTTGTACCTGGTGCCAACAGCTACCTGTGGGAGCCTCTAGTGGGGTGAGCAAAGCTTCTGCTAGTACAGGCTTTCCTCAGCTGTACTCAGCGTGTTCAACTGGGTTCTTTTCATTTCAGGAAGCAATTCTACTCTGAAACTCTGGGTGCCATTGTAGGTTCACTGGCCTGGCTGTCTTTTCAGAAACTTGTATCTTGGAAGTCAGAGATTATTTTCCTCAGAAACATGGAAGATTATAACATCCTGAGACTATTTTAAAATTTTATTCATAAACAGGACTTAAACTGTGGCTAGCTATAAATAAACAGTACATAATATATTTACAGTGTCTGTCTTTTTAGATGATTATTGGATGCAGTTATCCCCTAGTTACATGCTGTTAGGGTGTTTCCTGTAAGATCTCAACATCTTAAATTCTAACGACTCTTAGGGAATGACTTGCTTTGGTGTTTGGTCAGTTCTTGTATCCTGCAGTGGTTATTTCTAAAGGTGATGGTTGAACGCAGTGCTAGCCAGTAGTTTTGGAGGCTGAGGGAGGTTTGGTCATACTCTTCAAGTATAATCCTAAGTATTTAAGATAGTAGGTGAGATTAAATGCTATTTAATATTAAGTTGTCTTAGATATAAATTCCATATCAAAAGAAGTTTGGTGAAAGGTATTTTAAGTTTATTTCTTGACAGTAACTTCTCTTTTCCCCATGTTACCTTGGCAGCGTTGGTTTACAAAGCTGCCTCCAGTGTTGACCTTTGAACTCTCCAGATTTGAGTTTAATCAGTCTCTTGGGCAGCCTGAGAAAATTCATAATAAGCTGGAATTTCCTCAGATTATCTATATGGATAGGTGAGTATTGGTTAACTGACTCTGATTTTAAGCGCGGCAGTAGAAAGGACTGTGAGCTATGTAACTGTGTGTGGAGATCACCTGGACAGCTGATAATGTGCACATTTCAATTGTATGAACCTTCCAGAGTGCAGCACTGTGACTGAAGAGCTAGGCATATATCTGGGCTCAGAACATAAATCCATAAAAACATAAATCTGTGGACACTGTAAACCAATAGAGTAAAAAATGCAAGGCAGGTACTAGTTTACAATGTCATGGTAAAACTATATATACAAACCCACTGGAATATCAACTAAGTTTCTAATTATACTTAAGTTTCTGTTTTACATCCAAATTGGGGAACATAACTTTCTCTAACTTTGACATTTAAAAAAAGCCCTCATTCTCCAGCCACCACATGGAAAATTGATTTTTTGAAAGCTTCTCTAAGAAGGACCCAGTTATATTGGGGTGGGGAGAGAGAGATCGAGAGAGCTCAAGCACCCAATATTAGCATATTAGTAAGGAAGCAGATCTATCTCAGAGCTCATCCCCACTCCCCCTGGAACTTGAGACATTTTTAAATTTGTTTGTTTGTTTTCATTTTGTTTAATTTGGCAAGAGAATCCATACACTCTCCAGAGTCTTTTGCTTCAAAATGGTTTTAGCTTTTGGCTCCTTGCATTTCCATGGAAATTTTAGTGTCTTGCCAGTTTCTGCCAAAATAAGGGATATTTGGTTGGATTGTGCCACACCTGTCACTCAGTTTGGGGAGAAATGACGTCTTAGATTGTGATCTTTTTCTTCTGAGCATCATTTTGTTTTCACATCTTTATTTCTCTGTGATGTGCTACAAATTTTGGTGTACAGCCCTTCCATCATTAGGTAAATCAAACTTTTGATATTCTGAGTTTTTGAAATTTTACTCTGTTCTCTTTGAGCAGATGGAAATCAGGTTGATTGTACTGGTTATTAAGTGACATTGTCTCTTTGGGTTGGAATAAACTCACTAAGTCTGCTAGGGTCTTGTGGCTGCTGCAAGCAGCAGCTGAAGAACAGCTCTGCCTCCTGTGCTGCTGTCTCTGCACCTTTTGTTTCTTTGACTTACCTACTGTACTGCCTTCACCTTTAGGAAAGCATTTAGGGATAATGGTGAGAGTGGGCATCCATCCTTGCTGACCTTGGGGTTGAGAACTGTAGCCTGAGTGTGATCCACGGCAGTGCACTCTGGTGGGTTTGGTACCCCGTAACTTAGCCCGAAATTCAAGGGGAGCCTCCACTACAGAGGGAGTTGGAGACCACTCTGGGCTATGAGATTCTGTCTAAAGCCCAAAACCCCCAAAATAAAATAAAAATTTAGTATTGGTTAATGGATAACTGCCTGTGTGAGGAGACCTTCACTGAGGTTTTGTCACTGATACTTGCTGATAGAACTCTTGTACTTGATTGTCATTTGTTTAGGTACATGTACAAGAGCAAAGAGCTTATCCGAAGTAAGAGAGAGAGTATTCGGAAGTTGAAGGAGGAAATACAAGTTCTGCAGCAAAAATTAGAAAGGTGAGTCTCTGGGTAGTTTTATGCTTTGAAACATAAAGCAAGCATAAGATCAGAGATTGTGTTTAGAAGTCCCGAGCGTAACTAATAACTGGTGTTTTATAAGATAGCCAATATCCTCACTATAGATATAAAGGAGTCTTCAGGGCTAGCTGGCATGTGTGGGGGAGTGCTCCTGAGGGCTTGAGGGACCCAGGCACACTGTGACTCTGGCAGTCTCTCTTCCTGCTCTTTCTGCTCTCTGACTAAACGAATGTGAGAAGCAATGCTGTCTGTCACTTGTCCTCTATGGATTTTTTGAGACAGAGTTTTCTGTAGCCCAAACTCTAAAAGAGGATGACCTTGGACTTCTGATTCTCCTGCCTCTACCTCCCTAAGGGTTGGAATTGCATTGAATGGCCTCCAAGCCTGGCTATTTCACTTGGGGAAAATGGGCTTGTAGAGTGTTGAGATGGGGTGATGCTGACCGAGTACTGGAGCTCAAGCTCCTGGTGTGTACAAGGTTCTTCTGGCAGACTGCGCTTTCTTTGTTTTAAAATGGAATCACCCAGATCTCCTTAGGCAAGGTCTTCGTAGTCTAGATAGATTGCTTTAACATTTACAAAGGAAATCCATACTGTTGGTAGCTTCCTCTCTTCTTCATCTAGTTTTTTTTTTTTTTTTAAATTTCCTGTGCCTTTTTGGAAGTGTTCTTCTTTCTGCCTGCTTGTGTGTGTGCGTGTCTGTATGAGTGTCAGAGTTTCTGTAACTGGAATTAGACAGCTGGGGAGCCGCCATGCGGGTCCTGGGACTTGAACCGGGATCCTCTGGAAGAGCAGCTGGTGCTCTTAACTGCTTCATCTTAGTAACACCCTCTCTCCGACCTCACCAGTCCACTGCCAGGTCCTCACAAGCTCTACCCAGATCCAATATTAACTAACATTTAACAAACATTATTTGCTGTGTGGGAGTATGGGGTAGGAGAAGGGGGGGAGAGGGAGAGAATATGGACATATGTTCCGCTGCATTCATAAGAAGGTCAGGTGACAGCCTGCAGAATCAATTTTCTCTCTCTATCTTTATGTGGATTCTGGGGATCAAACCTAGGTCAGCAAGCTTGGTGACAAGTGCCTTTATCTGCTGTGCCATGTCACTGGCCCAGTTATTTTTAGAGAACTTAAAGCAAGAGTCACTGAGACTTTGGAATTAATTTCCTTAGTGTAATATTGCTGTTTCTTTTTGAATGATTTATATGTTGTATCTATGTGTGACTATGTACATCTGGGAGTGCTGGTATCTCTGGAGGCCAGAAGAGAGTGTCAGATACCCTGGATCTACAGTTACAGACTGAGTTTATCCACACTGCTAGGAGTGGAACGAGGGCCTTTCATAAGAGACTATGCTCTTAACTACTGAGCCCTCTAGCTTTAAAACCAACGGGTGGTAATTTTAATTTTGTTTTTTTTGTTTATTTACTTATTTTATGTGTACATTTGTGAGTATATGGAGGTCAGAGGATGCTTTCTAAAGTTGACTCTCCTTCAGCCATGTGGGTCCTAGAAACTAAACTCAGTGCATCAGGCTTGGCAGCAAACACTTTTCTCTATTAAGCCACCTTACTGGCCAAAATGTAACTTCCTAGATATGAACTAAAGACTAGAGAATGCTCTGCAAAGAACACTTACTGTTTACTGCTCTTGCAGAAGAAAGAACTGGCTTGGTTGGTTCCTAGCATCCGTGTGACAGGTCACTACTATCTATGGCTCCACTTGGAAGGAATTTGATACCTTCTCAGGTTTCTGTAGGTTCCTGCACACACGTGATACACATACAAATATGCAGGCAAAACACTCATACACATAACAATAAATGAGTGGATTTTTTTAACCTATACAAACATGTATATATATATGTGACATACCCCACATATATCCAAGAACATTCTGTGAGATACAGAACTGAGATGGGGGTCGGTAACTTTAATGTTTTTTTTTTTTAATACAACTTTATATTTGGATTTTCTTAACACATCCATACATCACTTTTAAGTCTAAAAATAGGCATCGTGGCCAGTAGTCTCAGAATTTGGGAGACAAGAGAATTGAGTGGTTTTTGAGACTGGTTTGGGCTATGTAGTCCAGGTTAGGCTAATCTGAGTACAGCGTAAACTCTGCCTCAGAAAAACAAAAAGGTAGGGTATGGTGGAGCATACCTATGAGCTCAGGACTTAGGGACAGGAGGATGGAGACTTTCAGGCCAACTGGGATTATCCCTGACCTTGTCTCAGAAAACAAATAAAATGCTTATTATTTCTGTAAGTAACTATGTAAGATACTGAGAGGGAGATTTCTTGTGTACATGATAGACAAGACAATTTTGAAACTACCTTTGCTGTGTTTTTGTTTTTATCCTGTGCTGAGACTTGAACACCTTGTAGATGGTAGGCAAATGCTCTAGACTCTAGGTAGGGACTCTATCCCTTCCTGTCCCAGCCCGTTCCTCCCTTGCCCTGGTCCTATTAGTCAAAGCAGGTGCTGCATTGTGAAGTCATGGCTCTCAGAGCGGGGACTCAGAAGTGATGGTGACAAATAAACACAAGTTCCTTAGAGGAGAAAAACTTGTGCGGGATTTTATATTAAGTATTTTATTAAAATGTAATAAGCCTGGAGGGGCTGAAGGCTGGCACCCATTTCTGTGCTGAAGTGCCAGCTCTGCCCTCTGTGAAGTGTGCATTGAGTTTGATAAACTAGTAGCGCAAGAGCATGGCCAAGTGAGTGCCAGGGATTAAACAACTGGCTCAGGTTTTTCACCCTGGCAGGCACATGCCAGCTCTCTGTTAGTGACCCTGAGGGACATCATAGTAGGTGGTAGGCAAGCCTTGCTACGGCTGCCTTTGCTCTCCGTCCTGTGTCATGAGTTTGATGCTGAGTTAAAAATGCTCATTTTCTACTCGTGTTTTCATTTTCTTCCTTCTTTTGTTTGCTGGTTTAGGTTTTTAGAGAAAAGATCTCGCTGTGTAAGCAAGCCTTGGTTGGCCTGAACTTGTTTTGTGGATCAGGGCTGGTCTTAAGATCGTAATGATTTGCCTGCCTCTGCCTCTCAACTGTCGGAATTATAGGTGTTTGCAGCCCTGCGCTGCTCACTTAACTGACCACAGGAACTACCGTTGTTGTGGAGGTGGAGTCTCCTGTGTCCTCAGACAGTGTGATGTGTCTGAGCATGACCGTGATTTCCCGTCCTGCCTGCATCTCCATAGTGACTTTAAAGTAATGTGCTAGTAATGGCAGATAGTAAGTATTGTTAGAATAGTTTGTCTAGAGATTGGAGATGGCTCAGAGGTGAAAAGTGTACACTATGCTCGCTCGTGTCATATGGCCACAACCACCTGTAATCAAGCTTCAGGGGATGCAGTGCCCTCTTCTGGACTCTAAGCATACATGCACGCAAGTGAAAGTGTCCAGTCGGAGTGGTGTCTCAGTAGTTACCACTTGCAGAGGATCCAGGGTCAGTTCCCAGGATCCACATAGCAGCTTGTGACAGTTCATAACTCTAGTTATCATGAGTCCTACACCCTTTTTATGGGCATCTAGGGCACCAGGCATGCATGTGGTGCAGATATACTTGCAGGCAAAATATCCATACACATAAAATAAAAATATATCCTAAATAACTGTAAAAGTACTCTATTATTTCAGTCACATATTTGAGAATATTACTCCTACTGGAGAAATCTTGAATAATTTATAACTGGCTGGCCTATGCAATTGATCACATTTATGAATAATAGAGTATATAAGGGGTGGAGAGATGGCTCAGCAGTTAAGAGCACTGACTGCTGCTCTTCCAGAGGTCCTGAGTTCAATTCCCAGCAACCACATGGTGGCTCACAACCATCTGTAATGAGATCTGATGCCCTCTTCTGGTGTGTCTGAAGATAGCTACAGTGTAGTGTACATAAGATACATTAATTTAAAAAAATAGAGTATTTAAGACCCTGTAAAAGGAAGATTGCTGGTTTTTTTGGGGGGGGGGCTCTGACCTTTAATGTCTAATTTCTTTCCTTCCCTCCTGCCCGCCTGCCGGCCTCCCTCCCTCCCTCCCCCCCTTCTTTCTTTTCTTTCTTTCCTTTTTGGTGGAGGTGGTGGTGGTTTTTGGTTTTGGGGGGCTGTTTTGTTGGTTGGTTTGGTTTTGGGTTTTGGAGACAACTTTGGCTCCATAGACTGACTGTGCTGGCTTTGAACTCACAGAAATCAGAGTTCTCTGCCTCCCAAGTGCTAGGATCAAAGGCATGGGCTACCACCACCTTGTCTTTGTTAAGGCCTAATGTTTATTTTTGGATTTCTCTCACTCTCAGTTATGAGGCAGTTGGTTTAGAGAGGACAAAGACAATGCCATGAGAACTAATGACCAGCTTGTTTCTCAGTCTGGAACACTGTCCTCTAAGAAAGAACTTAGGTTTGTGAGCAGAGCCTAACTGGTGGGACAGGAGAGCAGAGCTGGAGCCGTCTGAAACTGTTCTCTGTGAGGCATCAGACTGCTGGCGGCCTTCACTCTTAACCCTATAGATTGAGTAACCAATTAAATAGTATATGCCTTTAGGAATAATATAGGACTTTGTTGTTATATTGAGATAGGCTGTTAGTAGCTTGCCCCAGACTTACTTTGTAATCCAGTCAGGGCTCAAACTTTTTGTGATCTTTCTACTTCAACCTCCTGAGCTGCTGGGATTATAGCTGGGTTATTATTATATTAGCAGCTCTGCATGGTAAGTCTTTGTCAGCAGTTATTACAATGCATAGCAGACTTGGGCAGTAGTGTTCCAGTGTCTTTGCCTCTTAGGTATGTGAAGTACGGCTCGGGCCCATCTCGGTTCCCACTCCCCGACATGTTGAAATACGTTATTGAATTTGCCAGTACAAAACCCGCCTCTGAAAGCTGTCTGTCTGCAAGTGCTGAGCATGGGACATTACCACTTCCCTCAGTGCACTGCCCGGTTTCTGACCTCACAGCCAAGGACAGGTAACAAGCAGATTTTGTAAATGGTTTGTATTGTTTCCCGTTCTTATTTGATTCATTTCCCACCCTCCCACCTGCTGAGGACCCCTCAGGTAGCTCAGAGAGGGGGCTCTGCCTTCCAGAAGGGTTTGGTTACCTGCGTTCCTGGACAGAGGCTTCTCACTGTCTGCTGTGTGGATCAGACTTCAGGACTGCTTTGAGACTCTCAGGGCTTCCTCAGAGATCCAGGTGTCCTCTAGACATTCTGTACTTCATCTGCCATGAAGGGGGCATGGCTAAATTAACAGCAAGAAAAAACTTATGAGCAGAGTTATGCAGTTAAGGAAGAACTGGCAAGAATTCTGAGGACAAGCCTAGAGGAGTTCGGCTAGGCTTGGGAACACACAGGGAGGCCAGGTGGAGCAGTCCTCTGACTCTGCCTGTTTAGCCAGCATTATAGCTTGACGGTGCCAGCAGGTTCAGCTTGGGTCACGCTCCGTGATGTGTGTGTCTTTGGCTAATAAAATTACTAGAACATACTTGTCCCTCACAGAGAAAACAGCTTATGTTAAAAACCTAGTTGTTATCTGGACTGCGGTGGTAAAATCTATATATAGATTTTAGATAAGGCCTCACTGTGTAGCTTATGTTGGCCTTGCAATTGAGGTCTTTTCTACCTCAGCCTCAGCCTCACGGTTGCTAGGGGTCATATCTTTATTGTATCTTTTCATAAAGCAGCTGGTTTTCTGAAGTACATTAGTTTGGGTCAAATTGAACTTTTTTCTTTTTTTGAGATAGGCCCTTACCTATACCAGGGTAGTCTCAAAGTCGAAACAGTCCTATGTTAGCCTCCCAAGGGGTGGGATTACCGGATTCTGCCACCATGCCCACCCCAACTTGCATTTTAGATGCTACAAAGGAAGTGCCATCTTTTATCTTCTTCAGTTCAAGTCCTGAAAGCTACTCTCGGGATACTGAAAGTACCTTCTCCTCTTTGGATGATGCTCTTCCCAACTCTGAGGTAATGAATGGGCCATTTACCTCTCCTCACTCTTCCTTGGAAATGCCTGCACCCCCAGCTCCTCGGACAGTCACAAATGAGGAGATGAATTTTGTTAAGACCTGTCTTCAGAGGTGGCGGAGTGAAATTGAACAGGATATACAAGGTTGGTGCTCTGAAAACTTGTTAGCTACTCACTGGTTTTCCTAGCTATTTGGAAGCCAGGCACTCTAGGTATTTGTTCCCTCATTGCTGTGCATGAGGCCTGGCCACTGTGACTTCTGCACTTCTTGTTTGTAGGCTTGGTCCTCTGGAATAGTAACATAGTTGCAGTTGTGGGACCCCTCGCTGAGATAAAGCAGTGTTTGTTCCTCCTCTCCCTTCTTTCCTGCTCTTGTCCTGTCCCTTTGAGGTGGGGTCTCAGAACTGACCTGACTTCATGTGGTTCATGTGCTTCCATCATGCTGCACATTTAAATTTGTTTAAATGTAAAGATTGTAATTGATTGTAAAAGGCTAGTAACAGTGTTTGCCTCATAACCAGGCCTTGTTAAAAGAAAATTTGGTTTAATATCTCTCTTGCTATTTTTAAAGATAAGATCTCCTTTTATAGCACAGACTAATCTCAAAGTCGCTATCCTCCTTCCCCAGCTTTCTCAGTATGGGGACTGTGCTCACAGGTTTGAGCATCTTAACAAAATGAATGCTTTCTAAACGGTAGCTTGCCCATTGTCTTAGTCAGGGGTTCTATTCCTGCACAAACATCATGACCAAGAGGAAAGGGTTTATTCAGCTTACACTTCCACATTTCTGTTCATTACTAAAGGAAGTCAGGACTGGAACTCAAGCAGGGCGGGAAGCAGGAGCTGATGCAGAGGCCATGGAGGGATGTTACTTACTGGCTTGCTTCCCCTGGCTTGCTCAGCTTGCTTTCTTATAGAACTCAGGACTACCAGCCCAGGGATGGCACCACCCACAAGGGGCCTCCCACCCTTGATCACTAATTGAGAAAAATGCCTTAGCTGGATCTCATGGAGGCATTTTTCTCAACTGAAGCTCCTTTTTCTGTGATAACTCCAGCTTGTGTTAAGTTGCCACACAAAACCAGCCAGTCCACCCATACTCCATTCTTGCTTGGCCTCCCTCCTGGCCTGGGCCCTCAGACAAGATAAGCATGTGCTTCTTTGCCTCTGCACCCAGCTTTCTCCTCCCATTATACTCTTGCTTCGGTTCATGGAAGGATTTTTCCTAAATTGAGACAATTGCTTTAAGAAATTTCAGTGTAGATTTATAAGAATAATTTATTAAAGCCCTCAGTGTAATTACATTGAATTAAAAGCCTTTATAACCTGAAGCACTCGCCCCTTGAGCACCACGCTGCTTCGTGCCTCCTGGTGGGAAGCAGAAGTCATGACAGCGTGGGGACAGAGAAGCAGGACTGTCTGTTGCAGGGCCTGTCACAGATGCTCTCACCTAATGAGGTTTTTCTTCTTAACAGACTTAAAGAATTGTATCTCGAGCACCACACAGGCTATTGAGCAGATGTACTGTGATCCTCTTCTTCGTCAGGTAGAATTAAAGGTGAAGGGAAATGGGCTGGTACTAAAGGCAGAGGGTATAATACCACAAGAGCGGCATGGATTTCTCGCTAAGATAGAATACATTCCCTTACATCCAGTTGAAGAATTCAGAGTGTCTTCTGCTTACGTTGAAACCTAAATTGTCCTTTTTTGGATTCTGCCATGTGGTGTTTCTTCATATAATAGAGATATATTTGCTGTTAGGAGCTGGAGAGATGGCTTGGCAGTTAAGAGTGTAGCTGTTTAGCAGAGGATCCAAGTTCAGTTCCCGGATACACCTATGACTTCAATTCTAGGGAGATCTGATATGTCTCACCCTCTATGGGCACGTGAACTCCATGTACATATCCACGTCCACATGATTATAACATAATTATAAAAATGACAAATCTAATTTGCTATTAAGTATTAATAAAAAGTTTTTCTCTAAGTGGTGGTGTTAACAAAATCTCAATTATTTGATTTTACCAGTAAAAACTCGGGAACCAGATGCTAGGGTGAAAGACTGCTAACTCAGAGAGTCAGAGAAAGCACCCAGGTTTTTCCAGTAAATAACATAGTTTTGGGGTTCACAGTGTGATCACTACCCTGCATCATCCAAGTGGTCATTGAAGCAGTGCAGTGGAAAACTGACTGGAGATCAGTTATCCATTCTAAGTTCCTTTGAGAGGTTCCAGTAGTGTCCTCAGGCTTTATTTCTCTACTAACTCGAGATTCCAGAAGGGAGGCAGTCAGAGCAGAAATCCTTGCTGTCCACACTCCTTTGTATTCAGTAGTAGGGGTTTGGACACGGCTGTGCACAGGCAGTTCTGTGAAGGGCTCATGGCCGAGTAACCTCCAGAACTTGGCTCTGCTCCCTGCAGGTCAGTGAGCATGCTTGTGGTTGGAATAGGAACAGATCCTGTGACTTTTGACTTCCCCTCTTCTCTCTTGTGCTGCTTCAGAGAAATCTGCCCCTGAGTGAAAGGACGATTAGGTACTGAGCAGAACTTAGGGTTGGCAGAGCCTCCAGCAAGACTTGGTTTGACTCTCATTCTAAGGGCCCTGGGATTGGACCCTGGCTAGCCTCCAAGATTGTGTTTTCATTGGTCTGTCCTGACTTGGTAATATGCCTGATGTGAATGTTATCTTGTGTTTAGATGGGCATTCCCTTTTGCTAGTTGGGAATGTTCAGAGTTGTAGTGACATAGATACCATCTGATTTCTGTGCCCGATCTGAGAACCCTCCTTTCTTATTTACAGGTGCCTTATCGCTTACATGCAGTTCTTGTTCATGAAGGACAAGCCAGTGCAGGACACTACTGGGCATACATCTATAACCAGCCCCGGCAGATCTGGCTCAAATACAACGACATCTCTGTTACTGAGTCTTCCTGGGAGGAACTTGAAAGAGATTCTTACGGGGGCCTGAGAAATGTCAGCGCGTACTGCTTGATGTATATCAATGACAAGTTGCCCCACTTCAGTGCAGGTAAGCATGCTGACTAGAGGAGGGCATTTGGGGAGCTAGTCCCTGGGAGAGGAGCAGTCTCATACTTATTTTGAAGACATTTGCAAACTATAATTTTTTACTGTGTAAAATGTTCTTAAAACATAAAAACTGTAAGAGAATGAAAAGGAAAATATCTCACGTAGTCAGAGAACCACTGCCCTCTATGGTGTAAAGTCATAAATTTTGGCTGAGAGTGTTAGAAAGGGCTGTCCCAGTCCTTGGTTGTTGGGAGTCCTCGTTACTGCCAGGATTGCTCATCTTTAAGAAGTACATGGAGGGCTGGGGACTAAGAGTTTTTGTAGAGTGTTTGCCTAGTGTGCAAGAAGCCCTGGTTTGATCCCCAGTACCTTGTAAACCAGGGCTGGTTGTGAGGTGACAGGATCAGATATTCAAGGCCAGCCCAGGCTACTTAAGACCCTGATGGAAAAGAAGCAAGTAGACTTCCCAAAAGGCAGCTAACAAGGGCTTTGCTGTTTTGTTGCAGATTCTTTTTGTTGGTTTTGATGACATGGTTAGAAATAGAATCCAATGTGTCCTTCATATTTTGCAATTTTTTTTTTATTAAAGTGTTTAATGACTTGCTTATGTACCATTTACCCAGTAATTCACCTTGGTTTCTGACAACACAATAATTGCGTGGAATTTCAGGAAATAAAGTATTTGGGTCCCTCCCTCCCTCCCCTCCTTCCCCCCTTCCTTTCTTTTTTTTAAAGGCAGGGTCTCATTATGTAGCCTCCGTCTCCGGAGTGCGCTCATCAGTGCCTTCATTTTCTGCTCAACTGTAATGTAGTGGGCGGTCATTCTTTTAAGACAGTAGCTCCTCTAGCCTTTCCTACCTTGTGGGCTCCTGATCTTCTTGCCATCACCTCTGGAGCTGTACTGAGGTTATAGCTGTGTGCTACCATGCCCAGCTGAGACATTCTTACTGCTCTTGGATATCATAGTTAAATTGATAAGACTATTACCTTGCGTTTTCTTTTTCCTCTTTTTTTTTTTTTTTAATAAATTTATTTCTGTGTATGTGCCTGCGTTTCTCTGTGTTTGTGCACATGTGCATGCAGGTACCTACAGAGGACAGAAGATGTAGGATGTCCCAGAGCTGGTGTTACAGGTGCTTATGAGCCACCCTCCGTGGGTGCTGGGAATTGAACTTGAGTTCTTCCATAAGAGCAAGCAAGCATTCTGAAGCACCGAACCCTCTCCATTTTCTTGTATCACATCTGTTGATGTTCAGGTTTTTAAAGAAATACCAGCTACATCCAGTGACTGCCCATGACCTATCGTGTGTTCATTCAACCAACAGATAATTTTTCTGAGTTTATTGTTATTTTATACTGATAAATATTTGGCTGCATGCATGTGTTCGGGTCCTGGAGTTGCCCCACAAACTATATGAACACAACTCTCAGTCAGACGGGGTGGTTTATTGAATGCATACCCTAAGACTGATCAATTAGGGCCGCAGCTCAGAGTTCGCTTAGAATTCAGGGGCTGAGCCATGACAATGAGCATTTCTTAGGGCCAGCTAGTAAAGGAAAACCATAGAAACAATCCAAACCGTGAGCGCATGTGCAGGTACAAGAAGTACAGGTTGGCTTTGACTCAAGCTACTTTAGATATAACAGTTCATATTGATCTTTAATATGGTGGGTCCTGCCTAAAGGTCTGTGGAATATCTTAAGATTAGCAAACCTCATATGGAACATAGTAACAGGATATGTGATCAGCATGACCCTGCTCTGAGTCAAGTTATTTTTCTGTGTCCATGACTGGCAGGCATGTTACAACAACAGGATGAAAGAGCTGGCAGGCTACAACTGTTCCAAGGTTGGGAGGTGGGGGGATTCACTCAGCATATGTACGTGGACCACATACCTGCCTGATGTATCAGATCTCCTGGAACTGGGATGGGCACTTATGAGCTGCCATGTTGGTACTGCAAACCAGGACTGGGTCCTATGCAAGAGAAGCCTGTGCTGTTAGCTGCAGAGCTGTCTCTGTAGCTCCAGTAGATAAATACCAAGCACCTGCCTGCCATGTGGCCTGCTCGGTTCCTGATGTGCTATGCCAGTTAGCCTCATGCTGTCAGAGATTCTGGTTGAATTCCGTGTGTGTGTGTGTGTGTGTGTGTGTGTGTGTGCATACTTGTGAGTGTGGATGTCTGTTAGGGACAGAGGGAAGCTGGGATGTGCCGCCCTTCTTCTGTGACAGTCTGCTGGTTTACCATTCTCTGTTTTAACTATTTTCCCTCAGAGGCAGCTCCTAATGAATCTGATCAGACTGCAGGAGAAGTGGAAGCCCTGTCTGTGGAACTCAGGCAGTACATTCAGGAAGATAACTGGAGGTTTGAACAAGAGGTGGAGGAATGGGAGGAAGAACAGTCCTGTAAGATCCCGCAGATGGAGTCCTCCCCGAACTCTTCCTCACAGGATTTCTCCACATCACAAGGTATTGTCCAGTCAGGCCCTTGCTGCACTCCCATACTGTGCCTGGTCTGGTCAAGTCCTTGCTGTCCTCTCCAGCCAACCCCAGATACTCAGTGACAAGGCGATGTCTCTCTTCACAGTGTCTTTCTCATATTCGTGTGTGTGTGTGTGTGTGTGTGTATAATTTTTTTTTCTTTGATGGAAGGAGTGTGGGAATATGCTCCATATAACACATTGTTGATATCAGAGGACAACTTGTGGGAGCCAGTTCTCTCCTTCTACCCTGGTCATCAAGCTTGGCAACAAGTACCTTTACCACTAGGCCGTCCTGCTGGCCCAACAGTGGGTTCTGTTTATAATGGCTGTCACACAGTTTGGTAGGATTGGTGTGCCTTTAGAAGTTGCTTTCTGAAAAGGCAGAAATATTATGAGAAAGGCTGTCTGTGCTTTCTATAGTGCTTTGCTTCTCCCTCAGGTTGTAGGAGAAAGGATGACAGGATGGAAGGTTAGACTTCTCTCCATAGGTGATCTTTAATACGTGGTTGAGGAAAGGAAGCATCTTTGGCATGAAAACTTCAGAAAGACTGCACAGTAATTATAACAGACCTTTGGGAGTCCTTGATGTGGACTGACCTTCCTTCCTTCCTTCCTTCCTTCCTTCCTTCCTTCCTTCCTTCCTTCCTATGGTTTTTCGAGGCAGAGTTTCTCTGTGTAGACAGGCTGGCCATAAACTCACAGAAATCTACCTGTCTCTACCTCCCAAGTACTGGGATTAAAGGTGTGCCTCTTCTGCCTGGCAGAGTAGCTGTTTCTTGTCAAAATTTCTAGGGGCATTTACATAGGCTTTGAAAGAGGTGCTGGACTATATATTGAAATGTGTGTCCCTCCTGCTTGCTGTTCATCAGATGTGACACTTCTGTGATTATTTCCTTTTATTTGTTGTTAGAGTCCTCAGCAACATCCTCTCATGGGGTTCGATGCTTGTCTTCTGAGCATGCTGTGATTGCAAAGGAGCAGACTGCCCAGGCAATTGCAAACACGGCTCAGGCGTATGAGAAGAGCGGAGTAGAAGCAGCCTTGAGCGAGGTGAGACTGGCTGAGGGGCCCTCCTTTGAGAGGGTCTGGTTTGTGACACCAGCAGCTACCAGCTTTCTGTCGTTTCTGTTCTCTGTCTCTGCTGAATTTAACCAGCCCTCTTTATTTCTTCTGTTTTTCTCCATTGTTCTTAACTCTATCCCTCCATTCTGCTGCCACAGCTTAAGGAAGCTGAATCCGAGAAGCCCCAGGAAACAAACCTTGCAGAGCAGTCAGAGCAGGCCGCAGAGGCCAGAGACCCAGAGGCTGCTGCCCCGCCTGACTCTGAGGTCTCTGAAGTGGAGATTCCCAGTGTGGGAAGGATTCTGGTTAGATCTGATGCGGATGGCTATGATGAGGAGGTACAGGGACAAGTGCAGGGTAGCCGTGTGTTGTTTTCAAAAGGTGTGTCACCAGCTGATGTCTTCTCACTGACTCAACAGCCATAGAGGCCTGTCTGCTTCTGACCTTAGTTGCCCCTTATGAAAAGGCACGGGTGACCCATTCCTGCTGTGCACTTTTGGCATGCGTGTGTGCATGTGTATGTGTGTACACCCAGCTTGTATTGAGCAGGGACGGCTACAACGCCTGGATGGCCTAGCGAAAGGATTAGCTCCATTTGGTATTGTGAACAAAAATACATTTACCTTTGAGAGATGGTTTGGTTTTGGTGGCAGTCCATTATTTTGTCTTACAAGTAGCCTTTTTCTACTTGCTCAGTGAATAAAACAAATGTGGATTAAAGTTGATTTTGCTTTTAATTCTGCAGTTGAGCAAGCAGCTGTTCCTCGTGGTCTGCCCCTTTTTGAGTAGCACTGCACACAAATAGTCTTTAATCCTGTCTCTCAGGTTTCTGCCTTTTGCTGTGGGTGTATATATATATTTTTTAAGTTTGCAGTTACTTAATATATGCCTTCATTCCTTCATTCTTGTGGAGTGCTGACCATATGGTTGAACCTAATCTTCAGCAGCGCTCCATCAGAAGTGTTCTTGGCCATCTTTGTTTATCGCATAGACTTAGAGTGTGCACATAGAGGAGCAGCTTGTCATAGGCATCTTTACAAGGATAGCCGAAGCTCTGCATGCATCTAGAATAGGGCTGTGGAACTTGGCCTGCAGCCTGTGCCAGCCAAGGAGAGGCAGCGCTCGACTTCTCCTCAGCACTCTGTTCACCTCGCTTCATACGGTTTCCTTGTGAACCTGTCTGCTCTCCTTTTTCTCTCTGTTTTGTGCCCTCTGTGGTAGGTGATGCTGAGCCCTGCCATGCAAGGGGTCATCCTGGCCATAGCTAAAGCACGCCAGACCTTTGACCGAGATGGCTCTGAAGCAGGGCTTATTAAGGTACTCCTGTTTTAATTTTAATCCTCATAACCCAGGAATATTTCTGTCAGACGGTGGGAAACAGTGTGAACATTGCTTATGCTGGGAGATTGTTCAGTCAAAAGGATACATTTTTGATATCCAGAACCTACATTTAAAAAAAACAAATTTCAACAGGATTGGAAAGATACTCTTGCATAATAAAACCCTATTTAGTTCCCAGCAGCCAACACTGGACAGCTCACTGCTAGCACTCTGCGTGTCACTCTGGTTTCAGGCCATTTGGCACTCTGTTGTCTTCTGTGAGTACTAGACATACACACGCCCATATATATATACATGTAACATGGTACACTGTAATCCCAGTACTGGAGAGGCAGAGATAGGATCCCTGAGGCTTGCTGGCCAACCAGTATAGCCTACTCCGGTGAGTTTGAAGTCAGTGAGAGTCTTCATCCCAAAAAAGTATGATGGAGCAAGGTATAGTGGCACATGCTTTCAATACCAGTGTTTAGGAGACACACAGACAGATTCAAGTGAGGTTCAAGGTTCACTCGGTCTACATAGTGAGTTAAAGGCCAGCCAGGACTACACAATGAGACCCATGCCCAGTTCTACACCCACTCCACACAAATGTCTATTAGATAGAATCTGAAGAATAGTACTCAAGGTTGCACTCTGGTCTCCACACATGTACACCCTAGCACACAGACACACAGTAGCCTGTGTTGAAATGAAACATGACACTGTCTTTGCTGTCCAACTGATGAGCTAGCCGTCTCACAAAGCTGATGGCTCATCTTTGCCTGGCAGTGTCCCAGCAGTGAGTAGTGCCACTGTGCATTGCATCTAGTCTACAGGGATGACGAAGTTGTTAAATGTTCATTGATGACACAAACTCCGAATCTGACTTTGTAACTTGAGATCCTTCATTTTAAAAAGGGATACTATTTGAGGATTTGACATTTAAGATGTTTGAATGAGATTACATTTGGGTGGATTGTTAAACGATTTATACTAAGTGCTTGTGTTTTAAGAACTTGCTGAGTGGTGGGCATGCTGTCACATACCTGTAATCCTAGTAATTTGGCAGAAGAACCAAAAGGATGGCCACAAGTTTGAGGCCAACCTAGTCTATATAATGAGGTCTAGGGTAGCCTGAACTACAGAATTGACCCTGTCTCCACAAGCAAACAACTTGATGGGGAAAATGAGTTTATTTTTTGAATATAGTATGTCTTTAGTCAGGATTTTAGTCAGGATTTGAGGGAGTTCTGATATGCCAACAATTCACATCCCATAGTTGGCTTTTGTAATTTCTCAACAAGAATTCCTTAGCCTAGCGTGAATTAATGAGAGGCCCTTTGGTGTCAGTTTCTGTATGTGTGCTCAAGTCCACGGTGTCCCCTTTCCTACCCCTCAGTTCTGTCTGTAACAGGCATTTCATGAAGAATACTCCCGGCTCTACCAGCTTGCCAAAGAGGCGCCCACTTCTCACAGCGACCCTCGCCTTCAACATGTCCTTGTCTACTTTTTCCAAAATGAAGCACCCAAGAGGGTGGTAGAACGGACCCTTCTGGAACAGTTTGCGGACAGGAACCTTAGCTATGATGAGAGGTGAGAATGCGCCAGCCTGTTCCTGCATGGGGTCTCACGTGGCCACTTCCTCCAGTTCGGAGTTGCTGCCCTGTCCCCTGCCATTGCTTTCTGAACTCTGTCCACACAGATCTATCAGTATCATGAAGGTGGCTCAGGCCAAGCTGATGGAAATTGGTCCAGATGACATGAACATGGAAGAGTATAAGGTAAATGTGGGTCTTTGTTTTTAATTCCTCCCAAAACCTTACTTCTGGAGGCAAGTGATACTTGAGATAAAATGAAGTTTTATGTTACCAGACTAGTTCCCTGTGAACTTGAAAGGGGAAGGGAAACACAAAGCTGGGTGATGTGGGCCACACCTTTAATCCTAGCACTCTCTGAGTTCAAGGCCAGCCTGGTCTACATAAGGAATTCTAGGACAGCCAGGGATACAAATTGAGAGGAGGAAAAATGAGTAAGAATCCTGTCTTAGGGCCAGAAGCATGGGTCTTGTTTTCAGGCTTGGTTAGCCTCCTGCTGTGCTCCTTTCCTAAGGGCCCTTCTAAGCCTTGTCCTGGGCTGTCTGTTTGTGTAGGTGTGTGGTGACATCGTTTACTAGTAAGCATTAAAATTGTGGGCTACAGATAAAATTAAAAGAACAAACTCTTCTGTGTATAAAAGCATGTGTGCCAGAGTTGTGCTGTTTAGCTCGTGCTCCTTTCTTTCCCGTGGCTGCCTGTGCCTGTCATACTCAGGAGTGTCATTTATATACATCAGAAGGACTTGGACGAACGAGTGTCCTTTATATACGTCACAGCTCCCTTCCCCTTGGCTGTCTATGCCTATCATACTCACATTTCTATATGTCAGAAGGACTTGGATGAGTTGTGTTGGGATTAGGAGAGTTTATAAACTCACTTAGATGAAGTGAAATGGTCTTTAGCAGAAGGAATAGAACACAGCAGCTTAGGTCAGTGGTGGGAACATACTCTAGGCTAGGCTTGCGTTTGTCGTGTGTTGAGGAGGACTCTGGCCTTACTGATGCTCCTGCAGCCACCTCCTCAGTGCTGGGTTTACAGGCGTGCACCTCCATTTAAGTTGGTTTTTGTTTTTTTACCCAAAGGTTTTGTGTGTTTTTGTACTTGACCACATGTTCTGAGTACATGGTTGTACTGAATATATAGCACCAAAAGTGAATCAGACAGTTGGTTTACTGAGATCAAGTCACTAATAGTGGTCCTTCCTTTCCAGAGGTGGCATGAAGATTATAGTCTGTTCCGAAAGGTGTCTGTGTACCTTCTAACGGGCCTGGAACTCTTCCAAAAAGGAAAGTATGTTGGCTCTTTTTTCCAACTAGCATTGATAGTCAGAGCACTAACACCCAGGGACACTCAGAAGTCACCGTCATGAGTCCCCTTCTTTGTCACATACACTGTGCCTGCCCACACCCATGCTTCATCGTCTTCTACACATTACACTTTTTCCCCTGTCCTTTATGTAACAGTGGGTTATCAGTGAGGAGATGTGATATTGGGCTCCCTTAGTGACCACAAAGTGGTTTTGATTATCACAGGCTCTAATGAATAGCCAGTCTCTTTCCTTTGTTTTAGAGATAGAGAAAACCTGAGGTTCAAAGATGTTTCCTGATTTGTCTTACCTTTCTTGCTCCGTGTGCAAAACAGCTGAGAGTGGCTGTGGGTTTGGCTCCCATGTTTTCCCAGTACATCATATTGCAGCCGAATAGCTTCTCATTACAGAAAAGTGAGAGCAAAGCCCTAGGTTTTGGCAACAAGAATTCATCTATGGATTGTCTCCCACTTTCTAAGGTACCAGGAAGCATTGTCCTACCTGGTGTATGCATACCAGAGCAACGCTGGCCTGCTGGTGAAGGGGCCCCGCAGGGGCGTGAAGGAGTCTGTGATTGCTTTGTACCGCAGAAAATGTCTTCTGGTCTGTACCATTTACAAAATGTTAATCTCTCTTCCTCCCTCCCCGCGTCTCTCCTGCTCTCTCTTACTTTCTCTGCATATCATTCTTCTCCCACCCCTGATAAGTTGAGCCAGCCATTCCCTTCTCATGTGCCTGCATTAAGTAAAGCTTTCAGCATATTGCCCCCACGAGGCATGAGTTTGTTGAGCACAGAGCCACCTTCTGGTCAGCTGTTTCCTTTGAGCCCACCATGTACTGAGCCACATGAATATGTGGGAAGAATGGAATGTTTCCCAGGGTTGCCTAGCAGAAGGCAGTTTTTAGGACTATAAGTATCTTAAAAATATATTCCAGTCTTATACTAGGTTAGAGAATGTAAGAATTATTCTTGCTAACCTTGTTATTTTACCTCTTTTACATTGAATAGCCGTAGGGAAAGTCTAGTGTAATGCTGTCAATCTGCCCAGGAGTTTATGGAATTCTCAAAGATGGCTTGCTTGCAGGTTGTCTTTGTGTATTCATTTCCCCAGACATCTGTGGGATTATCCTTGCAACACCCTTATTTTCTGGGAATTCTTTGGTTGCTATGTCAGTGTAAGGCTGTCTACTATGCTGTGAGGTGGCCCCTAAAACTCTGTACTTTTGGCTTCTAAGTCACCACATATAGGTCATCACCTTGAGTATCCTCACACTCTCTTTTCTGCTGCCGTACTAGGGTTGATCTAGGTTTCCAATCACTGCCTCTAGTGTTTTATCAGTCACATGGGAGACACCTTCAGCCATCTGTGACAACTGGCCAGTCTGGGAGTAACCTGGGTTTCAGTGTCTTCTGTGAGTGGTTCTAGTGGCCAGTGACAATTGAGAATCATTCAGTAGGTCTTAGGGTAGAAGCAGATGTCAAATATGACCGTGGCTGGTAATGTAGGCCATTGAATCACAAGTGTGGGTGCATTAGAATCATCATGGGAGTTATAGAATCCCAGGGCACAGGTCACCTACATCCTAATTATGTCAGAACATCTGGGGCAGGAACCAGTGCTTTTTTTTTTTGGTGTGACTGTTGGCTTGGATTCATACTAAAAGTGATACTTATTTTTTTCAGTCTCCACATGTCTGTCTTTTATTTGTAGGAGCTGAATGCCAAGGCTGCTTCTCTTTTTGAAACAAACGACGACCATTCTGTAACAGAAGGCATTAATGTAATGAATGAGTTGATCATTCCCTGCATCCACCTGATCATTAATAACGACATCTCCAAGGACGACCTTGATGCCATTGAGGTCATGAGGAACCATTGGTGCTCTTACCTGGGGAAGGATATTGCAGGTGTGTTCTTAGCACTGCTTAGTTTCTGTGCTTTTGCGTATCTGAAACCTCACAGTGAACTCACTCTTTAGTGTCACTGGTTGTTGAAGCCTTTTAGGGGATCGAACCCCTGACATCTTCTGTGAGAGATACATGGGTCTGCTCCATGGAAACGGCCTGGGAAGTCGGACTCTACTTCTCTCCACCTCCTTGCCTCAGTCAGCAGCTGAAGCTGCTCCAGGGTCAGCCCACTAGTCCTGGGAGCTATGACTGCTGGCAACTAAACCCAGGGTGCCTGCTCCCTGGCTTCTGTCTGTGATCTGTAGTACTGTTAATTTTCTATCATTTTCCCATCTTCTAAATTATGAGGTTTTATAGTTTATTTATGTAGAGTATGAGTATCTGATGGCTCTTTAAACTTTCTTGAGGTTTGAAGTTGCAGTATATAAGAATATTATTAACTAATTACTTCTGTGAATTAGTAAATGGAATATCTTGAGAGAGCCTGATTTTGTAGGTGCATTCATTTTGTTCAGAAGGTGCATGTTCTGATAGGAATCCTTCTTGTTCATTTCCCACTCTGTAAAGAGTCAAGTGACATGTTTTAGTCTACAGGATTGAGTGATAGATCTTAAAATAAGCAATTGCTGTGTTTCCTTTTGTTGTATGTTTTTCTTTAGATTATGTGAGGTATAGCTTTACTTAATTCTGTGGACACGTTAGTATATTTAAGAATTTGAAAGACAGTAGCACCATCTGTGTGTGCAGTACACAGCATCACATCCAATTTTTTTAAGATTTAAGAGGACACTTGGTAAGAATAGCCATGATAGCAAAACAGCTTTGCTACTTGGTAAGCAGACCTTTGCTCCTGGCTGGCCCGAAGCTTACTGTGTAGACCAAACTGGCCTAGAATTCAAGAGATCTTATACCTCTGCCTCCTGAGAGCTAGGATTAAAGATTAAAAGTGTCCTCTACCACACCAAGCTAGTTAAAAGTGTTGCTTGTATGTACTGCTGTTGAGTGTATAGAGAGTGCATGTGCCTCCCTCAGAGGACAGCTCTGTGTACTTAGTCCTTTCCTTCCATCTTCCCCTGGGCTGAGCCTGGTGATCTCTGGTCAGCTTGTGCAGCAGACACCTTCTCTCCAAGCCACCTCCTTGTTCCCACCCAGGTGTGTGCATGGCAAAATAGATACACAAGTTAAACCTTTATAGATTTAAAATATAGAGGAATTTTCTGTTTGTAAATGATGATAACATATTTGCATGCTCACAAGATGGGTTGCTTTATCTTCTCATAAAAGGTTAAATCTTGGGTAGATATTTGATACTTAAGAATTTAGAACATCTGAAACCAGACTTGTTCAGACTTGCTTGCTGGTTGAATTCTCTGAATGGCAATGATGAGCATCCCACGTCAGTCACATCAGTACATCATTTTAAATGCGAGAGAGCCATTCAGGGCGTTTGAGAAATGATTGAAACTCTAAGCTAATCCCAAGCCAAGGTGCACTTAATGCTTTTTCTCCCTAAATAATGAAATGTAAAATCAGCAACCCAAATAGCAGTTTTAAAATCAAACACCTTATTACAACTCAAGCACCATCTTGATGCTCATGTGCATCCGATAATGGTGGGAAAGTAGTTAAAAGTCTTTTCTGTAGTTAAGTTAGTAATGTTTAATATAAAGAAGGAAAACTTGGCACTGTTTGACAGTGACTTCATGTATGTTGTGTGTTTTCAACCAGGACTGCAATGGTGTCGTGGTTATATGTTTGCTTTTGAGCGGGTTCAGACATCCTTTACTGCTGCCATGACAACACTTTCCCCAACATACGCAGACATGGAAATAGACTTAGTTATGCAGCCCTATGTGGGCTTCTCACCTAGAGTGGGAGGGCCAAGTTCCAAAGGCATCTTCTCTTAGCTGCAGCAGGATGCATGCTGTCGAGTTGACTTTTGGCTCCTGAAGCCCTCCCATATAGCTATGGCCTTGTTTATACTGTGTGTATGACAATCTATTTTTTCTCTACAGAAAATCTGCAGCTGTGCTTAGGGGAGTTCCTACCCAGGCTTCTAGATCCTTCTGCAGAAATCATCGTCCTAAAGGAGCCTCCGACTATCAGACCGAATTCCCCCTATGATCTTTGCAGCCGCTTTGCAGCCGTCATGGAATCTATTCAAGGAGTTTCAACAGTAACAGTGAAATGAGCCGTCATGGACTGTCAGTGCTCAGTCTGGTCTCTGGTTACCTCCTGCACATGGCAGTCTGTTGCAAATTCCCCAGAGAGAGGGCTTGGGTGTCTGAGCAAGATTCAAACCCTCGACCCTCTTGTGACGTGTGTTTAAGGGATTGAGGATTAAGTTGCACATTTTAGGTACAGGATCATGAGAGCTATTTCACTGCAGAAGGCAGGAGCCAGTGCATTAAGGTTTTGAATTATCCCAGAAGACCTGGATTGCCTTTGTAAACCTCCCGTAATATTTGGGTTTGTCTAAGCCTCAAGCCACTTTTAAATCACCTTCAGGCACCGGTCTGACAGCAGAAGGGTGACTCATCAGAACGGAACCGGAGCAGCGGTTTCTAGTTATTTTGTCAAGTTCTGGTGACATTTAAAAGTCCCTAGCTACCAGAGATTGGTAATAGGGGTCTTGTCTGGCTCTCGACAGTGACAAAAGGGATGCAGATGAGCCAGCCCTTCCTTCCACTCAAGGCTGGAACGGAAGACTGCGCCATGAAGCCAGGGGACAGCTGCCTGCCCTGTTGGTCTGTTTATATTTTAGATAAACCAGAAGATCTCACATTCAGTCTTGAGTGAAAAAAAGAAAGCATCCTGGACTTTCAACCTAGTGCTAGTGTGAAGCCACACAGGAACATTTTAATAGTTAATAATCATTTAAGCAAAATTGTGAAAATTATCAGAAGCAGGTGTCTAAGGCTACCTAGCCTAACAATTTTGATTCTTTCTCTTTTTTTTTCTCTCTCTCTTTTTTTTTTGTTTTTGTTTTTTTTAAGAAAATAGGGATGTGAATTTGTATAAAAAAAAAGAACATCTATCTGTGTATATGTAGAGAGAAGCTGCTTTTTAAAGAACTTCTAATTGGGAACTCATGTTTTAACCAAATTTTAAGGATTAATGGAGGAATCATGGGAGGGAAGTACACAATACAACTATGCAGATTTTATAAATGTGCAATAAAAGTATTTGTTTTACCTTTGGTGTGTAGCATGATCCTTTTTGAAATACATGATTTTCATTTTGGAAATGAGTGGGTTTCGTAGCATTTATATGATTTATATGATTTCAGCCTTTCTGTTAAGAGGAGCAGGGAAGAAGAGAAGATGAGCAGTTCTCTCTGTTCCCTCTCTCTTTTCAAGGTTTGTTTTTCCTTACGTGTACATGTATGTATATGTCATGTATGCGAGTGCTCATGGAGAACAGAGGGTGGCAGTGAGTCCCCAGAGCTGGGGAGTGTGCTGGGAACTAGACTCCAGTTAGCACAGCAGCAGCTCTCAACCCGAGAGTTAACTTCTAAGACCGTCAGAAAACAGGTATTACATTATGATTTATAACAGTAGCAAAGTGACAGTTATGAGGTAGCACTTCTGTGGTTGGGGTCACCACAACACAAGGAATTGTATCAAAGGCTCACAGCATCAGGAAGGTTGAGAACCACTGAGATTGCAGCCAGTGCTCCTAACCACTCAGCCCTGTCTGTCTGTCCATCCGTCCCCCTCCGCTCCCCGCCTACCCTTATAGCTCCATCAGTTAAATCCAATCTGATCACTAGGAAGAGTGCTGACAGGCAATTTCTCATTTTTGTATAGCTGGCAGACTAAGGTTTCAGGCTGATATTTTGTTGGTATTTGTTTTTGAGATATTCACATAGCCTAGCCTGGGCTCAAACTCACTGTGTGGCAGAGGCTAGTCCCTAGCTGCTGATCCTATTATGTCTGTCTCCCAAGTACTAAGAGGCAGCGCTTGGTACCGGCGTATTGCTCAGGCTACAGCTTAGAAGGTTTGTGTTTTGTTGGACTCTTACTGGCTTTTAACTTAATTTTATTGACATTGAGTCTTATTCTGTAGCCCAGGCTTGCCCTGAACTTACAGCATTCCCGCCCCCCCAAATGTTGGGATTACAGTATATGCTACGTTCCTAATCTAAAACACTTTTAACGTAAATTAAAACTATTTTTCGTGCGTTTGCTGTGCTGGTGTAGTCATGCCACAGCATGCCTGTGGAGGTCAGAGGATTTGGGGACTGAGCTCAGATTGTATAGTGTATCCAGTAAACTGTTTCACTGGCTCCTGACACCAGGAATCCATGCTGTCTCTCTCCAGTCTCCTAGCTTCAGCTTTCTGAGCAGCCAGGACTAAAGATCTGGGAACAAGAATGCTGCGACTGAAGGAATGAGAGGAGGAAGAGGCCAGTGTGAGAGATGGAAGCGTTCGAGCAGGGCATTTCACCTCTGTGTGCCATGGAGACATGGTGAACTGGAACTTTGAAAGTTCCTTTTAGTTGCCAGGCAGTGGTAACACATACCTTTGATCCTAGCACTTGGGAGGCAGAGCCAGGCAGGTTGATCCCTTGAGTTCCATGGCAGCCAGGGCCACACAAACCCTGTCTCAACAAAAACCAACCAACCAAACACCTATTAATTAACAATAAAAGGAGACTTGGTGATTTGGCTTAGTGTTGGAGCATTTGCCTAGCATACTCAGGGTCCTGTGTTCAAGCCCCAGCACTTCAAATAATGGGGTGGGGGGTTGTGAGTTCGTCTTTACCCTACACATCTCTAGAAAGAAGCAATTAGTGCTCCATGAGAGATCCCCATTTTCAGACCATCTCAGCCTTGACTATCTTTTTAGCCAGAAGAAGTAGGTATTCTAGAAGCTGAGCTTTTCTGGGTCCTTGAGGCCACCCTGGCTCTGCAGTTGATGAAGTGCTTGCTTCATATGCATGGGTCAAGTCATGAGTTCATCCCCAGCAGCATAAATCTGGTATGTCTGATGCTTGAAATCTCAACGATGGAGGTGGAGCCAGGAGGTTCCAAAGTTCAAAGTCATGCTATGTAGAAAGTCCCAAAGCAGTGCTCTAGACATGAAATGTGGATTCTCATCTTCCTGAGTGAAATTATAAAGTTTTTTTTTGTTTTTGGTTTTTTTGGGGTTTTTTTGTTTTAATTCTCTTTCTTCTTTTTTCTTTTTTTTTTTTTTTTTTTTTTTAATTTGAGTCCTACTGGGTATTGAATAGGGATTCAACAATGTCAGGCAAGCTGTCAGAGATACATCCCTAGCCCAAGAAATGTTTTCAATTAGATCAACTTAGAAGCCTGTGAGGAAAGTCTTTGTTAAAGATTTTAATAGGGGCCTGGAGAGATGGCTCAGCAGTTAAGACTGCTCCACTGCTCTTCCAGAGGTCCTGAGTTCAATTCCCAGCAACCACATTGGTGGCTCACAGCCATCTGTAATGGGATCCGATGACCTCTTCTGGTGTGTCTGAAGACAGTGACTGTGTACTCAAATACATAAAGTAAATAGATAAATCTAAAAATAATAAAGGTTTAAGTAGTTCTACTTTCAACCCTCACTTGGCCTTCAAAACAGGGATAAAAATTGTGGCAATTTAGGTGAGCATGGATGCCAAGTGGCCAGTGTTCTTGTTACTACATGTCAAGCAGCAGCCCCTGTTACCAGCTGTGCCCTTGTGTCCTTCACAAGGAGAGCTGGAAAGACAGGATGGTCTCTTAACCGTGCTCTAGTTTGTGTCCATCTCTCTGCAGAGAGAGCAATAGAAAACCAATGCCATCAACACCTATGAACATGGGATTACGGCGAGGGACTGGAGAGCCCCCAGCAGGCACAGGTGAGCCAGGTGTCCACTAAAACCCTGATTAGGCTAAACAGTGCAGAGGAGGATTTTCTGAGTCTTTGGGTGTGGCCCATCCTGTGAAGCAGCAGGATGAGGTTCAGAAGGGCATCCTTAATGTCAAATTTTGCCTTGGCTACTTGCCGACACAGGTGTGCTGCTTCAGTTCCCCCTCGTTATCAAAGGGGGAAGTTAGATGTGCTCTTCTGCTCTTAAGAAGACCTTTCAAGGTCTTACATAAACCTCTTAAGAACTCCACAGTTCTTAAGCCCCAGCTGGTTGTGTGACAGGGACAAGCCCTCATGAAAGATGCAAGATGCTGCTGCTGCAGTCAGAGGGCCTAAGGTCTCTGTCTGCTGTCTGGTCTGATGCTGGGTGGATTGGATTCTTTTTTTTTTTTTGGTTTTTCGAGACAGGGTTTCTCTGTGTAGCCCTGGCTGTCCTGGAACTCACTCTGTAGACCAGGCTGGCCTCGAACTCAGAAATCCACCTGCCTCTGCCTCCCAAGTGCTGGGATTAAATGCGTGCGTCACCATCCCCCGGCAGTGGATTGGATTCTTATGATGCTAGGAAAAGCAACAGCATCTTTACAGTGGTCCTGAAGGTGCTGCAAGGTCTAATTCCATCCTGCATCATCAGCTTTCTCCTCCTCCCCTTCCTCATCTTCTGGATCTGCATCCACTCTTACCTTTGCAACAGCTGCCATTTCTTCGAGGTGCCCAGCTGTGGCTCTGAGGACTTCACCTCCTCTGTGTCATCTTGAATTGTGTGGTGGTGTGTAGATTTGAGTGGTTTTACTTTAATGTCTGTGTTCTTTGTCTGAATGAGGACCCTCGGTTAAATCTGTCTGTCTTGTTTTTCACCTGTTTCCCAGCACAACATAGTAAGTGCTTATGAATACTTTTTTTTTTTTTTCGAGACAGGGTTTCTGTAGCTCTGGCTGTACTGGAACTCACTGTAGACCAGGCTGGCCTCAAACTCAGAAATCCGCCTGCCTCTGCCTCCCAAGTGATAGGATTAAAGGCGTGCACCACCACTGCCCAGCATGAATACTTGTTAAATGAGCAAATAAACAACTGGATGGCCGGGTGGTGGTGGCGCACACCTTTAATCCCAGCACTTGGGAGGCAGAGGCAGGCGGATCTCA